GGCTCCCGAACGTCACCCCCACGCGTAGCCCCCAGGCGCCCCCAACCGTGCCCCCCCCCCCCCCCCCCACACACACACACAGCCCCCAACCATTACCTTCAAACGTGGCCGTCACATGTGCCTCCGAAGGTCGCCCCTGCCGCCCCATGGACGCCCGAGCTGTTCAACTTCGACGAGCACGCCGTGGATTTAACCCACGGGTTCACACTAGTCTTCTCTTCTCAATGGCAGACGGAAGCGCGTGCGAAAAGGTCGTGCACTTTGCCCCCCCCCCTCCCCCCTTGCCCCCCCCCCCTGGAGGGCCATTTTTCGAGACCCCTCACGCAGATCCTGGCCCCCGAGCATCACAAATCGAGCACTCCCCCCAAAGACGCGCCGAAGTGGCCAGAAGAGGCCCCAAGGAGCGTCCAAGAGGCCCCTAGAGGCCCCCAATAAGGCCCACGAGGCCCCCTAGAGGACCCCAGAAAGGCTCTAGAGGCTTCCATGAGCCTCCAACAGTCCTCCGAAGCATGTCCCCAGAGGCCAAAATCTTGCATTTCCCAATGGTTTTTGAAGGAGTTTTGCCTGCTCACCTTCTCGGCTAGCCGACGCTCCAAGCCGGCCGAAGAGACCCACAAGACCGCCCCAGGACGGCCCAAGGGGCCTCCAAGCGCGTCCCCAGACGGCCCAAGGAGCCCCAAGATTGCCCAAGAGGCGCCCGAGACGGCCCCGGAGGACCCCAAGCCAGGCCCAAGAGGGGGCCAAAGCACGGAAAAAACCCTCCTGGGCACGCCCGCACAAGGCCCCAAGGCCCCCCCAAGAGGCCGCCAAGAGCCTCCAACAGTACCCCGACGCATGCCCCCAGAGGCCAAAATTGTCTAACAGCTCTTGCTGATAGGTTTCTAGTGGTCTCAAAAGAGAACATCTTGACGCCCCGAGGGGGGTCGGGGCGGGACCCGGACAGGGGATCCGGCAGGATCCGACAGCCCCAGGAATCTTTAGGAATCATTTGTAATTTTTAAGAACCCTTAGGAATCCATTCCCAGAACATCATTCCCAGGTCACATTTTGAATGCCCGGAGCCAGCTGTAGGCCACTTCGTGTTCTTCGTGTTCCCGGAACACCATTCCCAGGCCACATTTTGAATGCCCGGAGCCAACCGTAGGCCATTTCGTGTTCTTCGTGTTCCCAGAACACCATTCCCAGGCCACATTTTGAATGCCCGGAGCCAACTGTAGGCCACTTCGTGTTCTTCGCGTTCCCAGAACACCATTCCCAGGCCACATTTTGAATGCCCGGATCCAACTGTGGGCCACTTCGTGTTCTTCGCGTTCCCAGAATATTCCTGTACCGTATTTTGATTGTCCAGAGCCAATTGTGGGCCAGTTCGTGATCTTCGTGTTCCCAGAACACCAGTCCTGTGTCGTATTTTGAATGCCCGAGCTGAGGCAGGCTGAGGCCGAGGCAGGCGGCTGAGGCCGAGGCAGGCTGAGGCTGAGGCTGAGGCTGAGGCACGCCGAGGCAGGCTGAGGCTGAGGCTGAGGCAGGCTGAGGCTGAGGCAGGCTGAGGCTGAGGCTGACGCAGGCTGAGGCCGAGGCAGGCTGAGGCTGAGGCTGAGGCAGGCTGAGGCTGACTAGGCTGAGACTGAGGCTGAGGCACGCTGAGGCTGAGGCTAAGGCTGATGCAGGCTGAGGCTGAGAGGCTGACGCTGAGGCTGAGGCAGGCTGAGGCTGACGCTGAGGCCGAGGCAGGCTGAGGCTGAGGCAAGCCGAGGCAGGCTGAGGCTGAGGCTGAAGCTGAGGCAGGCTGAGGCTGAGGCTGTGGCTGAGGCTGAGGCAAGCTGCGGCTGAGGCAGGCTGAGGCTGAGGCTGATGCAGGCTGAGGCTGAGGCAGACTGAGGCTGAGGCAGAGGCAGGCTGAGGCTGAGGCTGAGACCGAGGCAGGCTGAGTCTGAGGCCGAGGCAAGCCGAGGTAGGCTGAGGCTGAGGCTGAGGCTGAGGCTGAGGCAGGCTGAGGCTGAGACAGGCTGAGGCTGAGGCTGAGGCAGGCTGAGACTGAGGCAGGCTGAGGCTGAGGCCGAGGCAGGCTCAGGCCGAGACAGGCTGAGGCTGAGACTGAGGCTGAGGCTGAGGATGAGGCCGAGGCAGGCCGAAGCTGCCTCGGCCTCATCCTAAGGTTTCCTCAGGATTCCTAAGGGTTCCTATGCATTCCTAAGGATGCCTAAGGATGCCTTAGGAATCCTTAGGAATTATTAGGATTCCATTGGATCCTAAGGCCGTTGCCACTGCGACTGTCATCGCGACTGCGACTGCGAGAACAGCAGAATTCTACAACTGGATTCTCACCTGAATCTTAAGGGGAATGCTTCCAGATATGCTTATACACATCGCTGTTAGGTTGCTTTGCCGGGATAATCATTTCTTTCTCCATGGTTCTGGAAGGAATTTTGCCTTCTCGTCTTCTCGGCTAGCCGACGCTCCACGACGGCCGGAGAGAACCACAAGACCGCCCCAGGACGGCCCAACAGGCCTCCAAGCGCGTCCCCAGACGGCCCACGGAGCCCCCAGATGGCCCAAGAGGCGCCCGAGACGGCCCCAGAGGACCCCAAGCCAGGCCCAAGAGGGGGCCAAAGCACGGGGAAAAACCCTGACATTCCGAGCCCTGGGCCCCCATACGCCCACACAAGGCCCCAAGGCCCCCCCAAGAGGCCGCCAAGAGCCACCAACATTACTCCGAAGCATGCCCCCAGATGCCAACATTGTTTTTGATGGAGTTTTGCCTTCTCGCCTTCTCGGCTAGCCGCCGCTCCAAGACGGCCGAAGACACCCACAAGACCGCCCTTGCTTTCTCGCCTTCTCGGCTAGCCGACGCTCCAAGACGGCTGGAGAGAACCACAAGACCGCCCCAGGACGGCCCAAGAGGCCTTCAAGCGCGTCCCCAGACGGCCCAAGGAGCCCCAAGATGGCCCAAGATGCGCCCAAGCCGGCCCCAGAGGACCCCAAGCCAGGACCCCCAGGAGGGACCCAAGAGGCAAACATTGATTTAGCCGCTTCAGAAAACGTGCATGTTTGATATGCGCGCTCTTTTCGTCTTCACCGCGTCCAGGCCTTCCCGATCGCCCCAAGACGCCCCCAGAGCACCCCAGGAGGGCCCCCTAAACGGCTATACAGGCCCCTCGCCCCATGACGCGCCCAGAGGCCCCCAAAGGGCCACACACGGCCCCGACGGCCCAGGACGCACCCAAGACAGCCCCAAGAGCAGCCAAGAATGGCCAAAGGGACGGCTCCGAGCGGCTCCAGGGGGCGCCAAGATGGCCTCAGAGCACCCTTGGGAGCCCCAAGGCAGCCCCAGAGGCCCCCAAGGCAGGCCAGGAGGCTCCCAAGACGGCCAGGAGGGCCTCCAGGAGAGCCCCAAGAGGCCCAAACCGTCCCATTCCCGACGGGAAGCGAAAATTTTCGGTTTGCTCAGTTTTTTCGTCCTCGCAGCGTCCAAGACAGCTATAGAGGCCCTCCACCTCGTCCCAAGACGCGCCCAGAGGCCCCCAAAGGGCCCTTCACGACCCCGGGACGGCTCCAGAGGCGCCCGAGACGGCCCAGGACGCACCCAAGACAGCCCCAAGAGCAGCCAAGAATGGCCAACGGGACGGCTCCAAGAGGCTCCAGGGGGCGCCAAGACGGCCTCAGAGCACCCTTGGGAGCCCCACGACAGCCCCAGAAGCCCTCAAGGCAGGCCAGGAGGCTCCCAAGACGGCCCAGGAGGGCCTCAGGAGAGCCCCAAGAGGCCCAAACCGTAACATTCCCGACGGGAAACGCATTTGTTCAATATATCTTGTTTTTTCGTCCTCGCAGCGTCCAGAAGGCTTTACAGGCCACCCAGCTCGCCCCAAGACGCGGCCAGGCGCCCCCATGAGGGCGCCCAAAGGGCCACACACTGCCCCGGGACGGCCCAAGACGCACCCAAGACAGCCCCAAGAGCAGTTAATAATGGCCCAAGACGGCTCCACCGCCCCGTCTCCAAGACGGCTGTAGAGGCCCCCGCCGCCCCGTCTCCAAGCCTTTCCGTTTGGACAGTCTCCAAGACGGTCTCTGGGCCGTCCGGGACGGCTCGAGAGACGACCGAGACGGCTCAAGAAACACCAAAGACAGCCCCAGTAGCGCCCAATATTGGCCCAAGATGGCCCCAAGATTGTCCCAAGATGGTCCGAGAGGCGCCCATGACGGCCCCACATCGCCCCAAGACGGCCCGAGATGCACTCAAGACTGCCAAAGAGGGCTCCGAGAGACCCACCCCCAGGAGGACGAAAAGAGGCCCCCAAGCGGCCCCCGAGAGGCCTTGGATGCTTCTCTCTTGGGGAGCGTCGAACTTCCAGCATCGTTTTGGAGGCTTCTTGGACCCTCTGGGAGCCATCTCTGTGCTATTTGGGGACGTCTTGGGGAGGTGCGCTCGAAAAGTCGATTCGTGTCCTCGCACTGGGGCCCTTCTCAGGGAGTTCCGTCTCGCCGCCCTCTTGCGGGCCTCCTAGGCCGCGCCCGCTGACCCCATTGTCACCACACTGCCAGATGAAATTATCATGCGGCCCCGGCGAAGAGCAAATAAACTTCTCACGGCTACCTTCCCCGCAGAAGCTATGATGAACACAGACTGCGGCGTCATGAACAGCTTCTGTCCACACCAGGTCATGCCTACATGGGTGTGCTTCCACTGACACCGCCTCTACCACCGCGTTGCTGCCTTCAGGCCTGCTTGCCTGCATCCCTCGCCCACCTTCCCCTCCAGCGGCCACCTCCTCCATCCATGCCGTCCCCTCCACCCTCCCCTTACCCGCGAGGCCCCAGAGACGCTCCACTTCCACGTCCAAGCCAGGGCGGGCAAGTTCCGCGGCCGGAGGCCGCGGGTCAGCCCTAGTCAGCTGCAGCGCTGGGATCAGCGCGTGCGAGAAGGGCGGGCAGTGGCAGCCGGCGCTGGCGTTGTTGAGTGAGATGCGGGAGGCGAAGCTGGAACCCAACGTCATCTATACAGTATGCAAGGAGGAAGCGCGTGCCAGCAGGAGAGCGGATCACATGGCAGCAGAACCCTCCAGCGGGGCCCGGCGCTCCGCGACGGCCTCGGCCTCCCCACGGAGACTCGAGGGCCCGGAAACTGCCCAAGAGGGCCTGCGAGACGGTCCACGAGTGCTCGAAGACGCTCAAGATAGCCCCCAGACGGCCCAAGAGGCACCCCAAAACGCCCCAAGTGGGCTCCCAGAAAGCGCCCGAGAGAGCCCGCACAAGCAAAACATCGTCCCAAAACCTGAGTAACACGTACATGTTCGCAACTCCTCTGCTTTTCGTTTTCGTCGAAGCTTCCACGACGGCAATACAGGCCCCCAAGATCGGCCCAAGACGTCTAAGGAGACCCCCCCAGGCTCCCAAGACGGCCCCCGACGGCCACACGACGGCTCCTGTGGCGCCCATTACAGCCCAAGATGCAGTCAAGACAGTCCCAAGAGCAGCCACAGATGGCCCAAGAGGGCCTCCGGACGGCCCCACAGGCGCCCAAGACGGCCTCAGACAGCCCCAAGAGGCACCCAAGAGGCCCCCCAATCGCTCCAAGTGACGCCCAGGAGACGCCCGAGAGAGCCCACACAAGCAAAACATCGTCCCAAAACCTAAGGAACACGTACATGTTCGCAACTCCCGTGCTTTTCGTTTTCGAAGCGTCCACGACGACAATACGGGCCCCCAAGATCGGCCCAAGACGTCTCAGGAGGCCCCCATGAGGCTCCCAAGACGGCCCCCGACGGCCCCCAGACGGCTTCTGCGGCGCTCTGCATGCAAGTCAACCCCAAGAGCGGCCACTGATGGCCCAAGAGGGCCTCCAAATAGTCCCAAGACGGCCCCACAGGTGCCCAAGACAGCCCCAGACAGCCCAAGAGGGCCGCAAGAGTGCCCCAGAAGGCTGCCAGACGGCCCAAGAGGGCCCCAAGAGGCCCCCAGGAGGCCGAAGAGAAACCCCGAGAGGCCCCCAAACAGTTCCCAAGGAGAACGCAGCGCCTGCCATCAGGATTCGACAAGGCAACCAGAAAAGTCACCAGAGCGCTCGGAGGGCCTCCCCACGGAGGCTCGATGGCCCCAGACGGCCCCAAGACAGCTCACAGAGAGCGCCCCGACGGCCCGAGGGGATCGTCTTGGGCCGTCCTGGGGATCGTCTTGGGCCGTCCTCGGCGACAGTCCCGGAATGGCTCCAGACGGCCCCAGACACCTTCAAGGATAGCCCCAAGACGCTCCAGGAGCTTCCCGACGCCGCCTACGACGGCTCCGACCCGAGCCCATAGAGGCCCACAAAGGCCGCCACAGTGCGCGGCATGACCGCTCGAGGTCGAAATCTGACGCGGGGTCTGGGCCCGAGACTGAGATTTAACGTGAGGGTCCCGCGCCCCCCGAGCTTGAGGACAAAATTTAACGCGAGAGTGGCATGTTAAATTTTGTCCGCGGCTCCTGGGGTCCATCGCCGAGGCCTCCGGCCTGCCGCGGACCGATTTAATTCACTGCCCAGGCGTTAACATTTGTCCTCAAGCTCTCCAGCTTCTCATCGAGAAGTGGGAAGCCAACGTGGTGTCTAACGTAATTGATGGCGCCTGGCGGCAATCCCCCTCTCCCTGCGAGTGCACGTAGTCCACGGGTCAGCCCTAGTCTGTACTACAATTCCGGGCGAAGCGCCCGCGAAAAGGACAAGCAGTGGCAGCGCCCCGGGCCGCCCAGAGAGCTCGCGGGCCGACCGGAGAGCCTCCAGGCGGCTGCCCGACGGGCCCAGGAGGCCCCCGGACCGCTCGCGGACTGATCCAGGATTCCCAGATCGCTCCCAGACTGCCTCCGGGGGTCCCGAAGACGGCCCAAGACGGTCCAAGAGTGTATCCGAGACGCTCAAGACGCCTTCAAGACGGCCCGAGACGCCTCCACGAGGCCCCCAGAGCGCTCGAAGTGCACCTCCAAGAGGGGCCGCAGAAGCCAAAATCGCTGATTTTCTTTTCAAAAATTGTTTTGGCATTCTCGCTTTTTCGGCTTCCCGACGCTCCAAGACCGCCCAAGAGGCTCCCAAGACCGTTCCAAGACGGCCCAAGAGGCCTTCAAGACGGCCCCAAGACGGCCCAAGAGGGCCCCAAGACGACCCAAGAGTCGCCCAAGACGGCCCAAGAGGGCCCCAAGAAGTCCCCAAGCGAGGCCCAAGACAGGTACCTGGAACCGAAAAATCGATGCCTCCACCCCAAGAGGCCCCCAGGATTGCAAGACGCCCCAAAGAAACGCCGGGACGCTCCCAAGACATCCCCAGGAGGCCCCAGGACGCTCCAAAGAGGCTCCAAGAGGCCCCCCAGAGGACGCCAAGCGCCCCAAAAGGCCCCCAAGAGGCCCCAAAAGAGGGCCCAAGAGGCCCTAAGACGCCCCCAAACTGCTACCAAGAAGCCCCCAAACTGTCTCCCAGAGGCTCCCGAGAGGCCAACCACACCACGAGATCCCAACCAATATCCACGAGATCTCTTACCCATTACCCAGGCCCGCGGCGAGATTGCCCGCAGGCCACTACAGCCGGTTCGGGGGCCCTATATACCAGCACCCGCACCCTTGGCTGTATCGGGGGCCTCACCGCTGCTCTCTCGGTTCTGCTGGCTTCGACCTGCCAGAGCTCTGAGCCGCTCCCCGACGGCCCCAGGACGCCCCTGGAGCGCTCCCCGACGGCTCCTGGACCCCCACATCGCTCCAAGACGGCCTCAAAGACGCCCAAGAGAGCCGAAGCCGATCCGGCCAGAGCCCCACGACGGCCTCGAAATGCCCCAGAGACGTGCCTCGAGGGCCCCGTGGACCGCGCCAAAAGGCACCAATTACCGTTTTCCGAAGGTTTTGGAGGATTCTTGCTCTTCCGCACGAACGGCCCTTCACGGCCCCAGGACCTTTTCAGATCACCCCTAGACCGCCCAACAGAACCCGAGGATGGCCTTCATATGGCCCAAGAAGGGCCAAAGACCGCCGAAGAAGGCCCCAAGACAGCCCAAGAGAGTTTCAAGTCACGCAGAAGACAGCGACAACTGGGCCCCAGGTGCCGCCCAACAGAGCCCAAAGCGAGCTCCGAGACGGCCCGAGACCCCCAAGATGGCCAGACGAGCCTCTGGGAAGCGTCGGGGACACCACCAGGAAGCCTCCGAGAGGATCCGAAGAGATTCCAGACGACGGAATTCCCGCAGTCCCCTACGAGCCACAAACGGCCCATGACAGTCCAAAGACAATCCCAAGACGGTCCCAGAGACGCCCAAGACGGCCCCAGACGGCCCCAAGAGGCCCCCAGGAGCGCTGAAGACGGCCCCAAGCGGCCCAGGAGGCACCCAGGACAGGCTTCGGCGACACGTGCGAGTTCGGGACCAACGCCTGGACCTGCGGGCCGTGGATTTTCCACGGGTTCACGCAAGTCAGCTACAGCGCTGGGATCAGCGCGTGCGAGAAGGGCAAGCAGTGGCAGCGGGCGCTGGCGCTGCTGAGCGAGATGTGGGCGGCGAAGCTGGAGCCCGACGTCATCTGTACTACAGTTCTTGCCGAAGCGCGTGCGAGGAGGGCTGTCAGTCGAAAGTCCGCCCTGGGGCGTCCCGAGAGCCTGCGGGGCGTGCGGGAAACACGGCCCGGAACGCAAAAGAGACGCGCCAAGGCGCCTCCAGGCCGACGGCTTCAGAAGGCCCTTGGGCCGCTCGCCGACGGCTCCTGGGCCCCAGCGCGGCCCAAGACTGTAGAGAGCCTCCAGGACGCTCCCCGACGGCCCCAGAATGCCCCTGGGCCGCTCGCCGACAACTCCACGACCCCCAGATCGCCCCAAGACGATTTCCCGCAAGCCCTGAACTAAGCCCCATGCCCAACACCGAGCCCCCGACACTTCCAGAAGGCCCCTGGCCGCTCGCCGACGGCTCCCTCGCCCCCAGCTCGGCCCAAGACGGGCTCCCAGAGAGCCACGACCCCCAGATGCCCCAAGACGGCTCCCCGCAAGCCCCAAATCAAGCCCCGTACGCCCCTCCGAGCCCCCGACACTTCCAGAAGGCCCATGGGCCGCTCGCCGACGGCTCCCTCGCCGCCAGCTCGGCCCAAGACGGCCTCCCAGAGAACCTTCAGCACGCTCCCCGACGGCCCCAGAATCCCTCAGAATGCCCCTGGGCGCTCGCCGACGGCTCCACGACACCCGCATCGCCCCGAGACGGCTTCCCGCGGGCCCCAAACCAAGCCCCATGCCCCACAGCGAGCCCTCTCGCCCCCCGGCGGCCTCCCACATAGCCTCCAGGTACGCTGCCCAACAGCTCCAGAAGGACCTTCCCATCACACCGGAAGTTGCTCAACCCCACCCAAGGCCCTGGACCACTCAGAGCTTCCCCAGACCCTCTCGGGAGCTTCCTGTCGACACCAGCCGCTGCCGCGGCATGCTCCGTTGTTACCTGGGCCTCGCAGTACTGGTGACCAGGGGGGGCCCTTCCCATGCGCTCACAAGCCCCAGGCCAAGCCCCATACCTCACAGAGGGTCCTAGACACTCCGACCTATTCCACATCTTCTCAAACGCCTCGTGTCGCTCCACGGCCGCACCACGCTCCAGACCCCACCCTGGCGCCCAGACCACTCCGACCACTCTAACCTGCCGCGCACACCACCCCGAGCCCTAGACCATTCTGAGCTGCCTCAGACCTTCTCAAGCGCCTCCTGTCGTACCCCAGGCGCACCACGCCCCAGACCACAGCCGGGACCCTGGACAACTCTGACGTCCCCCTGACCTTCTCGAGAGCCTCGCATTCGTGTTCCGGACCTCTGAGCCTTCAAAGCTCTAGAAGACCCACAGCTTCGCGAAGCTGCTCAGGTCCAACTAGCTGTTTCGCTACGGCTTCGTCGCCGCGCCTGCCTTGGATGCACTCCGGCGGGCCGCCAAGCGAGTCTCCGGGGCGCTCAGCCTCAGAGCGGATAGCCCTCAGGCAAAACACGCCCCAGACCCCACACCAGGCCCTGTAGACCACTCCGACCTGCCCCAGACCCTCTCAAGAACCTTCGCATCGTGGACCCCCCTCCAGTCCCGGAGCCAGAAGCCCTTAGATCATCACCCCAGGCACCCCAGCAGGGGTGACAAGGAGGACCTTCCGCTGGCCCCGCAAGCCCCACACCAAGCCCCAGACTCCACACCAGGCCCTAGACGCTGTGGGGCCTCCACTCCGCCTGTTAGGGGTGACGCGGGGGACCTGTAGCCGCTTCGGTCGCTCCTCCTCTACCGCCGATTAGGGGTGACAGGGGGAGGGACCTGCAGACACTGCGGGGATCAGCATCTCGCTCCCCCTCATACGGCCGATTGGGGGTGACGGGGGGGACCTTCCTCGTAGAGCCCTCGGTGGCCCCCAAGACAGTCCCGGAGCAAACCCGCAGGCGTCGGCGACACATATGCGTTCGTGGATTTTCCACGGGTTCGCACTAGTCAGCTACAGCGCTGGGATCAGCGCGTGCGAGAAAGGCGAGGAGTGGCAGCTGGCGCTGGCGCTGCTCAGCGAGATGTGGGAGGCGAAGCTGGAGCAATGCTGGGCGAAGCGCGTGCGAAAGTGGCCAAATGTTCGTGGCCCCCCACCGCGCTCACGGACCCCGGCCGCGCCTCGATCCAGCGGTCCAGGGCTGCTCCTGAGCGCTCCGATGAGCCCCAAGACGGCCCAAGAAAACTCCAACACGGCCCAAGCTCAACCTTGGGCGGCCCGAGCTTGCATTCCTGGCGGCCCCAGCAGCGCCCAGGTCGCTCTCGAAGGCTCCGAGAGGGCCCCCAGACATGCCTCGACGAGAGTAAATGGACGATGTCCCATGGTTTTTTCGATGATTTCTGTGTTCTCCCTTCTCTTGCTTCCCGCACGCCCGAGACGTCCCCCCGATCGCTCCCCAAGACGGTCCAGGAGGCCCCGCCAAGAGCCCCGAGACGGCCCGAGATTGCCCCAGAAGGGCCCACGATACCCTCATAACTAGAGCCTCCGGTGGCCCCCAAGAGCCCCAAAAGGGCCCCAGGAGCTGCCGAACAGGCCCCACAGGAAGCTCCAAGACGGTCCGAGACCCCGACCATGACCCCAGGACGGCCCGCGGGGCCCCCGGGACGGCCCAAGAGAGCCCCCAAATGGTCCAAGACGGCCCCACGAGGCATCAGAGAGACCTCCAGGAGGGCTCCAAGAGGGGCCGCAGGGAGTCCGCGGGGTCCCCAGGACTGCCCAAGAGAGCCCCTAAATGGCCCTAGACGGCCCCACGAAGCTCCAGAGAGACCCCCAGGAGAGCTTCAAGAGGGGCCGCAGGGAGTTTATACCGCGGCCTTCCCGCAGCCCCCAATGGGCCACGACCTCACCAATGACCACTCCGAGATGCCCCAGAGTCTCCCAAGAGACTCCGATAGTTGCCCAGGAGCTCCCCAGGAGAGCGCCTCCATCCACAGCACCCTTTCGCCGATTCTCGAACCCCAGACGCCCCCAAGAAAGCCCCAGACTCCAAAGTACGCCCCAGATTATTCCGAGATGCCCCAGGAGAAACTCCGCTGGTCCCCACAGAGCTTCCAAGAGAGCCTCCAGCCCCGGCACCTCTCCCCGTGTGTGGATCCCCGGTAGCCTCCAAGAAAGCCCTTGACCCCTAACCAATGCCCTTCAACGGTGTGGCTCCCCGATTGCCTCCAAGAACAACGGCACAACAAGATCCCTAGGCACTCCCAAAACACGCCCGCCCATCTCAGGAAGCCCCCGATCACGCCCCAAGGCGGTCCAAGAAGGCCCCTGAGCAATCCAAAGACAGCCCAACGATGCCCTCACACACACACACACCACATACACGATACGACCCCCCTGTGCAGCCTCAAAAGCTCCCAGCACGGCCCCCGACGCGTGCAAGACGGCGCCAGCGCTGCCCCAAGCCACAGAGCTCCCAAGAGAGCCTCCAGCCCCAGCACCTCTCCCCGTGTGTGGATCCCTGGTAGCCTCCCAGAAATCCCCTAACCCCTAGCCAATGCCCTTCAACGGTGTGGCTCCCCGATTGTCTCTAAGAACGACGGACCAACAAAATCCCTAGGCACTCCCAAAACGCTGCCCAAGGCGGCCCGGCACGGCCCCCGACGCGCACAAGATGGCCCCAGCGTTGCCAAAGGCGGCCGATTGGGGATGACAGGGGGGACCTTGAAGGTCCCCCATGTAGTACCTTGAGGGACCTTGAAGACAGGGGGGACCTTGAAGGACCTTGAAGGGCTCTACGAGGAAGTTCCTCGTAGAGCCCTCGATGGCCCCCAAAACAGTCCCGAAGCAAACCCGCAGGCGTCGGCGACACATGCGCGTTCGAGACCGACACCTTCACCTGCTAGCCGTGGATTGTCCACGGGTCCACACTAGTCTATATCATATCTATACTATATGGCCGGAGGAACCGCGTGCCGGAAGGAAATCCAGCCAAATGGCTAGAAACGGCTCTGAGACGCTCCGGAGGCCGCCCCGACGGCCCAAAGGCGGCTCCGAGCCGCTCAAGATGCCCCGAAGGCGGCCCAAGAGGGCCCCGAGACGCGCAATGATCCGGCCAAGACGCCCAAGATTGGCCCAAGACGGCCCAAGAGCTCCCCAAGACGGCCCACTAGGCCTCCCAAGAGGCCTCCCAAGAGAGCCCCGAGAGGCCAAAATCGTTGATTTTCATGTGTTTGTCCGAGGTTTTTTGCTTCCTCGCTTTTTCGGCTTCCCGACGCTCCGAACCCCCCCCAGAGGCATCCAAGACCGCTCCAAGACGGTCGAAGAGGTCCCCAAGAGGACCCCAAGACGGTCCAAGAGGGCCCCAAGACGGTCCCAGGCGGCCCCAGGACGGCCCCAGAGGCGCCCAAGACAGGCCAACGGGACCCCAAGATGGCCCGAAGAGCGGCCCAAGATGGCTCCAAGACGGCCCGAGGACGGCCCAAGAAGGCCCTAGGGGGCCCCAAGACAGCCCAAGGTGCGCGATAGACGAGCCCAGAGAGGCCCAAGAGGCCCCCAGGAGCCCAAAAGAGGTCCCCAAGAGGTGCCACGGGGCTTCAGCTTCGAAGCGAGGGGGGCGGACGAGGGGACCGCCTCAGGAGGTTTTGGACGGTTTTGGGCCTCAAAATCATCCGCTTTACGATAGTTTTGGAAGGATGTTGGCCTTCTCGCCTTTTCCGCTTTCCGACGCTCGAACACGGCCCAAGAGGCCTCCAAGAGCGCCCCAGAACGGCCCACGAGGTTTCCAAGAGCGCCCCAAGACAGCCCAAGAGGGCCCCAAGACGACCCAAGAGACGCTCAAGACGGCCCACGATGGCCCGAAGACAGGCCCAAGAGGGGGCCAAGAGGGGGACCACGGACCGAAAATCCTAGCCTTCCGCCCCAAGAGGGCGCCAGGAGGCCCAAACAGGCCCCCAAGAGGCCCCAAGGGGCTGCCAAGAATCCCCCGAAGAGGCCCCAGGAGGGAGCCGAAACGAGGCCCCAACAGAGGCCCCAACAGCTTCCAAAATGGCCCCAAAGGGGCCTCGAGCCCGCCTCCGAGCTTCCTCGCCGAGAGGGTGCCAACACGGCCCCAGACGGGCCCAGGACGGCCCAAGGCGCGCTCAAGACGGCCCAAGACGATTCCAAGACGGTCCCAGGAGGGTGCGCCCAGGACGGCCCAAGGACGCGCCAGTCGGGGCCTCAAGACGGGCCAAGATGGCAAGAGAGCCCAGCTGGCAAAAATCGTAAATTTTCCATTGTTTACTGTTACACCCTTTGCGTTTCCCGCCGTTTCGGCGGTCCGATGCACCAAGAGGCTCCAGAAAGTCCCAGGAGGGTCCGAGGAAACGCCCAGGAAGGCCCCAAGACGGGCCAAGACGGACCCAGCACAACCCAAGGCGCGCTGCGACGGCTCAAGACGGCTCCAAGACAGCCCCAAGAGGGTGCCAACACGGCCCCTGCTGGGCCCAGGACGGCCCAAGGAGGCGCACAGGAGGGGCCCAAGACGACTCCAAGGCGGCCTCCTCACGGTCCCAGACGGCTCCAAGACAGCCCCACGAGGACCCCGATGGGCCCAGGACGGCCTACGGACGCGCCCATGAGGGGCCCACGACGAACCAAGACGGCCCCATCACGGCAAACGGCGCCCTCAAGACGGGCCTGGACGGCTCCAAGACGGCCCTTTGAGGGAGCCAACGCGGCCCCACACCCTTCGGGCGCACACTTGGGGGGGCTGGGAGCTTGCGACAAGTCTCCCACATTCATTGTCCTGCCCCATTCTGTTCGCCTGGAGGCCTCCTCCAACCCTGTGGGCGAACAAGAGGAAACCCAGCGGGCCGCCAACCCTGGGGCCCGTGGGCCCCGCGCCGCTTGGGCAGAAGACGAACGCCGGGTCTGACAGGCCAGCTACCGCCCCCCTTTGCCCGATATGCTGTGCCATTCTGTTCCCCCAGGGGCCTTGGCGAACTCTTCGGGCCAAGCAGACCGGACCCCTGGGACAGCAGCCAATTGATATGACCCTGGGACCTCTCCGCATTCTTCGGACGAGCACCTGGGGGGCCCAGGAGATTCGGACAAGTCTTCCCCATTCCTTGCCCTGTCCCGTTCTGTTCGCCCGAAGGCCTCCACAGACCCTCTGGGCGAACAGAATGGGACATGGCGAACAAACCCTCCCGTTGGCGGTGATGCGACTGGATCGCACCATCATGGCGCGCCTGGAGGTGATGGCCGTCCCAACAGCGGTTTCTCTAAAGATTTTACAGAATTCCAAATTTTCTTGAAGCTCCTTGGGCCCTCCCTGTAGATCCTTGCGAGCCTCCCTGGCGCTTTCGGTGGCTTTCCCCGATGGCCTCCCGAGCCCTTCCCCGAGCGCTCCTGAGACGCCTCAGATGGGCTTCGACTTCGACGCACATCCCCGAGAGACTTCGAAACTGTCCTCAATAGGAGGTGAACGAGCAGTGCGCTGGGCCAAGCTGCTGGAGCGCTGCAAGAGCTCGGACACGAAGGCGCGGTCTCACTGCCGCCGCCCGAGCCGCCGCCGTGTTTGTAGATTTTCGGTACAATCTGCGCCGTTCCTCCGAGAACCATTCCAGAAAGATGTCGTGGACGGAGTCCACGGGTCAGCCCTAGTCAGCTACAGCGCTGGCATCAGCGCGTGCGAGAAGGGTGAGCAGTGGCAGCGGGCGCTGGCGCTACTGAGCGAGATGTGGGAAGTGAAGGTAGAGCCCAACGACATCTATACTACAATACCGGGCATTTGCGCGTGCGACAAGGGCGAGCGATGGTCATCCTCGGCGGCGCCCTAGGGGCCCCGCCCGTGGGGTGACGCCATCCCAGCCCGGGAAAGCCCCGGGACGGCCCATGAGGGCCCCGACGCGGAGGCCTCGAGAGTCTCCCAGAAGCTCCCCAGCGAGCACGAGAGGGTCCCAGGACGGGCTCGGAGGGCCCCCACGAGCTCCCACGGAGCTCCCAAGGGACCCCCACGAGGTCCCCGAGACCGCAAAACTAACGATATTCTCAAGGGTTTTAGACGTTTCCGGTGGTGCTCCTCCCGCCCGCCCCAAGACGCCCACCACGGCACCGCGGGCGTCCGAAATCGGGCCCATGCTGCCCGGGGGGCCCCCAAGAGAGTCTCCAAGACGGCCCCAGAGGCCCCCGATCGAGCTCCCGGGGCCCCAAGACGGCCCAAGAACCCCCCAGACGGCCCCAAGGGACGCCCAAGAGGGTCCAGTTCGGAGCGCTTCCCCCCCCTCCGGGCCCCTCCATGGCCAGCAAGGCTCCCGCCCCCGAGAGGCCCCGAGAAGGCCCCGGAGGCGCTCCCAAGAGGCCCCCGGGCGCTCTCCAGAGGCTCACTTCAGAGGCGCTCCCAAGCTCACCAGGGGCTCCCAGAGGCTCTCCAGAGGCTCCCACAGAGCCCCACGAGGACCCCCTCCTGGGTATCGGAGGGCCCTCCGCCATTTCCCCGATGCCTCCGCTGGGAACAGCCTGCTGCAGCACGCGGCACTGCTGGCACGACACGCAGCAGGCTGGACTTGAGGAAGGGGATAAGACGGAGGAGGAGGGCGAGAGGACGGGAGGCGAGGAGGACGGCAACGACGACGACGACGACGACGACGACGACAGCGGCGACGACGACGACGACGACCATGACGACGACGACGACGACGACGACGACGACGACGACGACGACGACGACGACGACGACGACGACGACGACGCTGACGCTGACGGCGACGACGCTGACGGCGACGATGACGGCGACGACGACGACGACCACTACGACGACCACGACGACGACGACGACGACGACAGCGGCGGCGACGACGAGGACGAGGACGAGGAGGATGAGGAGGAGGAGGAGGAGGAGGAGGAGGAGGACGAGGAGGAGAAGGCCCCCGGGAGGCCCCCGGAGGTCCGCGTTGCCTTTAATGTTGCTGGAGCTGCTGCTGCAGCTGTTGCTGCTGCTACTGCCGATGGTGCTGGATCTGCTGCTGCTGCTGCTGCTGCTGCTGCTGCTGCTGCTGCTGCTGCTGCTGCTAGCGCTGCTCCCGACGCCCTCAGGATCATCAAACAAACAGCGCACCCTGAAGCAATAAGCAGCAACGAGCGCACGGTCAATCCTCTGGCATTCGTGGACGGTAGTCCGCGGGTCAGCCCTAGTCAGCTACAGCGCTGGGATCAGCGCGTGCGAGAAGGGCGAGCAGTGGCAGTGGGCGCTGGCGCTGCTGAGCGAGATGTGGGAAGTGAAGGTGGAGCCCAACGTCGTCAGCTACAGCGCTGGGATCAGCGCGTGCGAGAAAGGCAAGCAGTGGCAGCTGGCGCTGGCGCTGCTGAGCGAGATGCGGGAGGCGAAGCTGGAGCCCGACGAATGCGAGACGCTCCAGCAGTGCGCCAGCTGCCTCCGCCCGAAGCACGCCGCCGCTCTCCGACGGCTCCCGAGAGCCCCCAGAGTATTGTTCCGAGACGTTCCGGATGGCGCGAGGACGTCCCAAGAGAGCCCGAACGGAGCTCCATAACAGCCCAGGACGGTCCGACGACGGGCCAGGTGCCTCCGTCGACGGCCCATCCAGACCCCGACGATCGCCCCCCGAGGCCAACGTCACGGATTTTCCTCAAGTGTTCAAAGGTTTTGCGTGGTCTCGCCATTTCGGGCCACGAACGGCCCTAGACGGCTTCAGGGCCATCCCAGATCGTCCCCAGACGGTCCAGGAGGCCCCGCCAAGTGCCCCAAGACGGCCCCACATGGCCCAAAGAAGCCCAAGACAGCAGCTCCAAGAGGGTCTCATGAGCTGCTCAACAGGCACCAAAGCGAGCTCCAAGACGGCCCTGAACCCCCAGCATAGCCCCAGGACGGCCCAAGAGGCCCCCGGGACGGCCCAAGAGGGCCCGGGAGGACCTTGACGGCCCCACGAGGCGGAAGAACAAGCCCAAACCTTGAATGCTCCAATGTTTTCCACGTTCCCTCCATGACGAACTCAGAACGGCCCCGCGCGGCTCCAGGTCCTGCTAAGGATCGCACCGAGATGGCCCAAGAGGCCCTCGCGAGCCCACCGAGACTGCCAACGAGGGCCCGAAGACGGCCCAGAACAGGCCCTGGAGAGCCTAGCAGAGCTTCAGGTTGCCCCCCGAGAGACGCCCCAGGAGCTGCCCAGGCGGGCCCAAACAAGACTCCCAGACGGCCCCAGACCCGCATCGTGGCCCGAAGATAGCCCAAGGGGCCCCCGGTGCGGCCCAAGAGGGCACACGAGGACTCCGAAGACGACCCACTAGGCCAGAAATCAAGCAACCACCTTGTATGTTTCCCATGTTTTCCACACTCCCCATGACGGGCCCAGAACGGCCCCACGCAGCTTGCAGGTATTTTCGCGATCGCCCCACGATGGCCCAAACCGCCCCGACGAGCGCAACAAGACGGCCCAAGGGGGCCCCAAGCCGTCCCAAGACAGGCCCCCGACGGAAGCCACAGACGACCCGAAAGAGCCCCAAGGCGGTCCGAGGACAGCCCCGGAGCCGCCCATGGCGGTCCCAGACGGCCCCAGGACGGGCCAAGGGGCACCCAAGACGGCCCAAGAGGGCCCCAACATGCTCCCAGGAGGCCGCCAGACGGCCCAGCAGGGCCCCGAGAGGTTCTTACAAGGCGGAACAGAAGCCCCGGGGCGCGGCCATACCCGCGGAAAATAAACCACGACTTCGAGGGCTATTGTCCGACGCCCTGGGGCGGAGCAATCAACCCTCGCCCAGGACGTTCGTCGGCTCGCCACGTCCATGGAAAGCCAGCACCTACTTCGAAGTCTCCCTCCCAGGCTCCAGATGGGGCGCAGACGTCTCGCTCGGATCGTTCGTGGATCAACGACGACCACGAAGAATACTCCGTAACCTCGGAGGCCATTCTCCATGGTCCCGCCGTCTGCCGAGAAAACGCCCCCCAAGACCATCCCTCGGCCTGCCACGTCGCCGGAAAATCAACACCACGCTCGAGGCTTATTCTCCGAGGTCCCAGGTGGGCTCCAGGACTCTGGCGAGACGTCTTTCGCAAACCTGCGCTTTGGCGCTTACTCTGGAGTTCTGGGTTTCGTTTCTGCGGAGATAGAGGGTGGAGGAGAAACCAATATTGTGTCACAGAAGGGCGCGCAGCGGTTCTACCCTCCAGCTTGGCGCACGCCTCACACGGCTCGTGGCTACATACGTAGCGCAGCACGTCCGACCCAACAGCGGTTTCTGTTAAGATCTTATTGAATGTCACACCCTCTTGAAACTCTCTTGGGTCCTCTCTGGAGATCCTTGCGAGCCTCCCCGGCGCTCCGGGTGGCTTCCCCGAGGGCCTCTAGAGCCCTTCCCTGGGCGCCCCTAAGACGCTTCAGAAGGGCTTCGACTTTGACGCACATCCCCGAGAGGCTTCAAAACTGCCCTCAATAGGAGGGGGGCGAACGAGCTGTGCGCCAGGGCCAAGCTGCTGGAGCGCTGCAAGAGCTCGGACACGACGGCGCGGTCTCGCTGCCGCCGCCCCGGCCGCCGCCGTGCTCATAGGTTTCGGCAACATCTCCTCCGTTCCTTTGGGAACCATTATAGAAAGATGTCGTGGACGGAGTCCACGGGTCAGCCCTAGTCAGCTACAATGCACCGAAACCGCCCCGGGCTGGCCCCGGGCCGCCCCGGGAGGCCCCAAGACACGTCAAGGGGGCCCCAAGAGGCCCCCAAGACGGCCCCGGAGGGCCCCGGCACGCCCAGCGAGGGGCCCAAGACGCTCGAGATTGGCCCAAGACGGCTCCAGAGGCCTCCAAGACTCCCCAAGAGGCCTCCCAAGAGGCGTCCCAAGAGGGCCCCGAGCAGCAGAAACCGTCGATTTCCATTGTGTTTTTCGATGGTTTCGGCCTCCTCGCCTTTTCGGCTTCCCGACGCTCCAAGACGGCCCAAGACGTCCCCCAGACCGCTCCAAGACGGCCGAAGAGGACCCCAAGAGAGCCCCAAAACGGGCCAAGAGGGCCCCAAGACGGCCCCAAGACGGCCCAGGACGGCCCCAGGACGGCCCAGGAGGCGCCCAAGACGGCCCAAGAGGCACCCAATACGGCCCCAGGAGCGGCTCAAGACGGCCCAACAGAGCCCTAGAGGCGCCGAAGCCGGCCTCAGACGGTCCCAAGACGGCCCAAGAGGCACCCAAGACGGCCCAAGAGGGCTCCAGAGCCCCCCAGGAGACCCAAAAGAAGCCCCTCGAAAGGGCCCCCACGAGGCCCTAAGTGGCTTCAGAAATGCCTCCACGAGGGGGTGAGCGGACGAGAGGCGACAGGCATATCGCGGACACAAAAGAGGCGTTTTCGACGCTCCCAGGGCCTTAGATGTTTGTCTCATGGGGAGCGCCGTCGGACCTCCGAACTTGGATCCTCGAGGCTCCACGCTCGAGGTCCTCCGTGACGCGCTCTTCAAACGGAGGGCCCCACGAAGCCTTCAGTGGCTTCAGAATTCCCTCCAGGAGCGGGGGAGCGGACGAGAGGCGACAGGCATATCGCAGGCAAAAACGCCCCAAGAGATCCCCAAACGGTCCCCACGAAGCCCGAAGTGGTCTCAGAATTGCTTCCAGGAGGGGGGGAGCGGACGAGATGCGACCAGCATATCGAAGGCACAAAAGAACAATGTTGGACGCTCCGAGGGCCTTCGATGTTTCTCTGTTGGGGAGAGTCGTCGTAGGATCGACGATTGCCGACCGAGGGCATGGAGAATCGAGCGAAAGAGGAGGAGAAGGTGGAAGAGGAGAAGGAGAAGGAGGAGGAGGAGGAGGAGGGGCCTGGCGCTGCACTGCGAGATGTGGAAAGCCAAGCTGGAGCCCGACGCCATCATGATTGCCTTTCGGCCCTGCAGCCGCACCCCCCCGCGCTTGCCCAGAGATCCCTCGCCACGTCGAGCTGATGTCGTGGACGGAGTCCACAGGTCTGCCCTAGTCAGCTACAATGCTGGGACCAGCGCGTGCGAGAAGGGCAAGCAGTGGCAGCGGGCGCTGGCGCTGCTGAGCGAGATGAGGGGGACGAAGCTGGAACCAGACGTCATCTCTACTACATTGCAGGGCCCAGTGCGTGCCAGAAGGGCGCAGGCCCCAATGCACCGAAACCGCCCCGGGCTGGCCCCGGGCCGCCCCGGGCCGCCCAGGCAGGCTCCAGGACATGTCGAGAGGGCCCCCAGAAGCCCCCAAGACGGCCCCGGAGAGCCCCGGCACGCTTAAAGATGGGCCCAAGACGCCCGAGATTCGCCCCAGACGGCCCAAGAGGCGTCCAAGACGCCCGAAGAGGCCTCCCAAGAGGCCTCCCAAGAGGGCCCCGAGCGACAGAAATCGTCGATTTCTATTGTGTTTTTCTATGTTTTCGGCCTCCTCGCCTCTTCGGCTTCCCGACGCTCCAAGACGGCCCAAGAAGTCCCCCCGACCGCTCCAAGACGGCCGAAGAGGACCCCAAGAGAGCCCCAAGACGGGCCAGGAGGGCCCCAAGACGGTCCCAAGACGCCCCAGGACGGCCCCAGGACGGCCCAGGAGGCGCCCAAGACGGCCCAAGAGGCACCCAAGACGGCCCCAGGAGCGGCCCAAGACGGCCCAAGACAGCCCAAGAGGCGCCGAGGCGGGCCTCAGACGGCCCCAAGACGGCCCAAGAGGCACCCAAGACGGCCCGAGAGGGCCCTAAGAGCCCCCCCGGGAGGCCCAAAAGAAGGCCGAAGAGGTTCCGAAACGGCCCCCACGAAGCCTTCAGTGGCTTCAGAATTCCCTCCAGGAGCGGGGGAGCGGACGAGAGGCCTCAGGCATATCGCAGGCAAAAACACCCCAAGAGATCCCCAAACGGCTCCCACGAAGCCCTAAGTGGCCTCAGAATTGCTTCCAGGAGGGGGGGAGCGGACGAGAGGCGACCGGCATCATGATTGCCTTTCGGCCCTGCAGCCGCACCCCCCCGCGCTTGCCCAGAGACCCCTCGCCACGTCGAGCTGATGTCGTGGACGGAGTCCACAGGTCTGCCCTAGTCAGCTACAGCGCTGGGATCAGCGCGTGCGAGAATGGCGAGCAGTGGCAGCTGGCGCTGGCGCTGCTGAGCGAGATGCGGGCAGCGAAACTGGAGCCCAACGACATCAGCTACAGCGCTGGGATCAGCGCGTGCGAGAAGGGCGAGCAGTGGCAGTGGGCACTGGCGCTACTGAGCGAGATGTCGGAAGTGAAGGTGGAGCCCACCGTCATCTCTCACCTACATGGCGGGAGGAAGCGCGTGCCAAACCTGCGGGGACTCATGTGGATAAACTCGCCCCTTTACGGCCTTACCACGTGGATTCGCCCACGCCGGTCCAACAGGGGCGCAAGAGCGGCTTCAAGACGGTCCGCGAGAGCTCTCTTCACGGCCTCAGTTGGTGCCGAGACGGGCCTTGACGCTCCAAAGACCTCCGAAGGTGGCTGCAAGACCGTCCAAGAGGTCCCAAAGACGTTCCGAAAGGGCCCCGAGAGGACTCCAAGGAGGCGAACATCTTCACATCCCTATGAGAAAACGTACATGTTCAGCATATCCGCCTTTTGCGTTGTTGCACGGTCCAGGACAGACCAAGAGGCCTCCCCAAACCCCCCAAGACGATCCAAGCGACCCCCAAGAGAGCCCCAAGACGATCCAAGAGGGCCCACAAACGGCCCAAGGGGGCCCTCACACGGCCCGAGAAGGCCCCAAGACGGCTCCAAGAGGGCTCCAAGAGGGCCCGAAGAGGCTCCCAAGAGGGCCCCGGGAAGCCCTCCAGAGAGCCCCAAGACGGACCAAGGCCTCCAAGAGGCCCCACCGACCTCAGAAGGTGGCTCCAAGACGGTCCAAGAGGCCCCAAAGACGCTCCGACAGGGTCCCGGGAGGACGCCAAAGAGGCGAGCATCTTCACATTCCTATGGGGAAGCGTACATGTTCAGCGTATCCGCCTTTTGCGCTGTTACGCAGTCCAGGACAGACCAAGCGGTCTCCCAAAACCACACGAGACGACCCAAGCGACCCCCAAGAGAGCCCCAAGAAGGTGCAAGAGGGCCCAAAGACGGCCCAAGGGGGTCCTCAAACGGCCTGAGAGGGCCCCAAGACGGCTCCAAGAGGGCTCCAAGAGGGCCCGAAGAGGCTCCCAAGAGGGCCCCCAGGAAGCCCTCCAGAGAGCCCCAAGACGGTCCAAGGCCTCCAAGGCGCCCCAAAGACTTCAGAAGGTGGTTCCAAGACGGTCCAAGAGGCCCCAGAGACGCTCCGAGAGGGCCCCGAGAGGACGCCAAAGAGGCAAACATGGTCACATTCCTATGGAAGGATATGGTCAGCATATCCGCCTTTTGCGTTGCTGCACGGTCCAGGACAGACCAAGAGGCCTCCCCAAACCCCCCAAGACGATCCAAGCGACCCCCAAGAGGGCCCCAAGACGATCCAAGAGGGCCCAAAGACGGCCCAAGGGGGCCTTCAAACGGCCTGAGAGGGCTTCAAGACGGCTCTAAGAGGGCTCCAAGAGGGCCCGAAGAGGCTCCCAAGAGGGTCCCAGGAAGCCCTCCAGAGAGCCCCAAGACGGTCCAAGGCCTCCAAGACGCCCCGTGACGGCCCAAACGGGCCCCAAGACGTCCCAAACCGGCAACACATTGGCCCAAAAGGGCCCCTGAAGGGCCCCAAAAAGTTTATCACAATGACCATTGAGAAGGCGCACAGGCGCTAAATAAAAGAGCGATCGGTACAGTAAAAAGCTTTTGAATCCAAGGCTCCCAAGTGCGAACGATGACACAGTAAGCTCTTCAACCCGACGCTCCCGAGAGCGAGCCACAACGTCAAAAACTCTGAAACTGGAGCCCGAAGCTATCATCCCCTCAATTCTGGGTCAAGTGCGTGGGCCAATCGCTTTCTCGGCCTCCAGCGGCGTCGGCACTGCCTCCGGGTCCCTGTGGGCTCTGGGTCCCCAAGACGTCGCAGAGACAGCCTTCCGTAATGTCCGAGATAGCCAGACTTGGCCCCGACAGCCGCCAGACGCGGAGCCCCCGAGAGATCTCAAGCGGTTCCAAGAGGCCTCCAAAAGGCCTTTAGACGCCGCTAGAGGCCTAGCAGGAATTGTCCAGAAGACCGCGGCAACTGCAAAGCTTTCCAACACCCAAGGGAAGATGTATGTCTTTTGCTTCGCAGGCTTTTCGACGCGAGGCAGCTCCAAGACGGCTTCGGGGGAGACGCTTGGGCTCCTTGCGGGCCACCTTGGGCCCTCTTGGGGCTCCCATCGAGCCTCCTGGGTTGTTTTCGGGGCCTCCTTGGACCGTCTCGGTCCGTCTTCGGGCCGTCTTAGGGTCCTCTGGGTGGTCTTTGACTGCCTCAAGAGAGCCCAAGGGCGGCCCCAGAGGGCTCCCAGAATAGTACAGAAGGCTTCGGAGAGCCTCCAGACGGCCCGACACGCCCTCCAGAGAGTGCCACGACGGCCCAACAGACCCCCAGTGAACCCCGAGACGGCCCAGGACGGCACCAAGAGGGCCCAACGAGGCCCCCAATAGTTTCGGCCGCAGTGCCCCCAAGCACGGCCTCTATATCCAGCAGCACACAAGACAGCAGCGGCAGCAATTAGCAGCTAGCAGCAGAAAACAAGCAGCCGCTGCATTGCCCGCGGCCGGCTGGCGGCCATCCCCGCTGCCATGGCGTGTGGCAGAGGGTCAGTTGCGACCGCCAGGCCTGCCAGCATGCTGGCAGTGACGTCGGGAAGACAACTGTCTGGCTACCAGCTACGCGCGCAAAACAGCAGGCAAGCAGGCAAGTGATCTCAGCTTCTGCACGGGGGCGAGCTGTCGTGGATGTAAGTTCACGGGCAGCTCTAGTCAGCTACTATGCTGTGATCAGCGCGTGCGGGAGGGGCGAGCATTGGCAGCGGGCGCTGGCGCTGCTAAGCGAGATGCGGGAGACGAAGCTGGGGCCCAGCGTCCGCAGCTACAGCGCTGGGATCAGCGCGTGCGAGAAGGGCGAGCAGTGGCAGCTGGCGCTGGCACTACTGAGCGAGATGTGAGAAGTGAAGCTGGAGTCCAACGTCATCTCTCCTACATGGCTGGCAGAAGCGCGTGCCAGAATCAGCTACAGCGCTGAGATCAACCCGTGCGAGAAAGGCGAGCAGTGGCAGCTGGTGCTGGCGCTTCTGAGCTAGACGTTGGAAGCGCAGCTGGAGCCCAACGTGGCCGGCTACAGCCCTGCGATTGGCGCTCTGTTGCTGAGAGGCAGATTAGTCAGCTACAACGCTGTGGAACAGCGCGTGAGTGAAGGGTTGGCACTGGCAGCAGGCTCTGGCGTTGTCAAGCGAGATGTGGGAGACGGTGTTCGGATTCGGACGTTCCGAACTATAGTGCTGGCATCAGCGGGTGCAAGAAAGGACGAGCAGTGTCAGCCAGCGCTGGCGCTGCTCAGCGAGATGCGGGAGGCGGCTCTGGAACCCATTGCCATCACCAATTGCAGCTCTGGGATCAGCTGGGCGAGACCGGCCATCAATGCCAGCAGGCTCTGTTGCTTATCAGCGAGACGTGGGAGGTGAAGTCGGAGCCTCTCCTCATCAGTTACAGCGCTGGGATCAGCGCGTACGTCAAAGGCGATCACTTGCAGCGTAGTTTGGCGCTGCTCGGGCAGATGCGCGAGGTGACCCCCCCGCGACCCACTCCCGACCCACGCCCGACCCTCCCCCGAGCCACCCCGCGACCCGCCCGCGAC